GTAGTATTCATATAAAATAGAAATTTTATTGTAACCTAATTATGTACAATAATGAATCATATGAAATATAGTTGAACAATTCTTTTAATAGAAAGATTTTATAAATTTCAATCAAAAGTAGCAAGGTTTGTTTGGCCAATAAAAGTTAAATGTTTCCACAGAAGGAAACAACTAATACAGAGAAACCTCAGTTCTCGAACATCTCACATGTTGAACAAATTATTTTTTGAACAGAAAATTAAAGATGAAAATGCCTTGGTTATTGAACAAAATTTGGGTTCTTGAACAACATAGGCAAACCGAGTAAACATGAATGGAATAATTTCTGAGTCGACCATTATGTTGTATACATTTGTGTGTTGTGCCATGCTTTTCTTTTCCAATTTTATTGTACTGTGACTTTTTTTCTCTATATTTATTCCAATTGGAAAAATAGTTTTGGTTTATAAAGATTTCAGGTTACGAACAATCTTCAGGAACAAATTAAATTTGTGAACTGAGGTTCTACTGTATTACCATTACAATTTATGCTAGTGAAATTCAGACCCTTGTTTTACAGCACTTCCTCCACCACTTAGATTGCATTATTCAGTTCATACTGCTAATACTACTACTACTATCAAGGTCCAGTGTAAGGGTCTCAGGCCCTACCCCCCATCATCATGGATGAGGGGGAGATACACACTCTACTACATCTCAATTTTCATAAGGTAGTATTCATATAAAATACAAATTTTATTGTAACCAAATTATGTACAATAATGGTTAATATACAATGTAGGTGAACAAATCAAATAGAAAAATTTTAAATCAATACAATGTATCTAAATACGAATTAGGGACATGTCATAATAGATCATTCTATCTTAAATAAATCAACAATGTTTTTATGGCAATGTTTAACATTGAAAGCTGTATAGTTTTAACATATTCAACATTATGGATAAAAAATACTGAATTTTATAGTGTTTTTTTTTTTCAAAACAAATTCACAGATTTGCGCTTCCTCCCCCCAAAAAATAAAATAAAAAAAATAAAGACTCCAGAATGATGTAAAAATCTGTGAAATGTTTTTATCCTTTAATAATCAGTTGTGCTTAGTTTAATTTGTAACTTATATAAATGTAACTAGAAAAAAGCAAATATTGATAAAATAGCAAGGCTCACAAATTACTGCCCAGGGTCACCAATCAATTCCCCAACTAAAATGGAATCAAAGTCTTGAGGCCAATTCAACTCAGATGTGATCAATGACTACTGCTAGTTCCTATAACGGGAAACCAACCCAATGCACAAGTGAAAACTCAAGTATCTCAAATGGTTCTGCTGGAAATAAAATATTTTAAATTTATTTGGTTATTTGTCATCATCATCTAAATTTTTCTTGAATATAAATATACTATATCTAATAATAATAATAATATACTGTTAATATCTCAATATACATTGTAAAGCTGCACTAGGATGTGTCATCAGTTATTTTAATACCAAGTTCATTGATAATTTCAGGTCTTCCAGCATCATACCAGTCACTGCTGATCACATGACAATGTGCATCTCAACAACACACTATGTTTAACATTCATTGCATTGTGTTAAATCAACCAAGAATAAGAGTAAACAATAGTGGTACTAATTTGTAGTAACTGATCAGCATGTTAGCCAATAAGAAATTTTTCCCCACCTTTTCTCTCATTTATAATATAATATTTACCTGATATCCTTGGTGCATATCTAAAAAAGTGATGAAGAATTCTGAGTATACATTCAAAATCAGTATATCTGATTTGGTCTGGTACATTAAGATAGCAGAAAAAAATGTATTTTTTTTTTTTTTTTTTTTTTTGTCCGATGTTGCTTATTATTTTATATCTAAATGCGCTATATTTATCTGTCTATATTTCTGACATGAGGTATTGTAACTATTTACACTGTTGAAATTGTTCAGAATGTTGTCTCCATCTTCATTCTCATATTCACAACGTTTCGACCGTTGTATGCTCCGGCCTTCTTCAGGATCTGTCTATATTTTTGAGATGAGGTATTGTAACTATTTACACTGTTGACATTGTATGGAATGATGTCTTCATCTTCATTCTCATATTAACAACATTTAGGCCATTTTATGCTCTGGCCTTCTTCTATATCTGTCTATATTTCTGGGATGAGGTATTGTAACTATTTACACTGTTTACATTGTTTTGAATGATGCTCCCATCCTTATTCTCATATTCACGATATTTCGGCCATTGTATGCTCTGGCCTTCTTCAGGTGATATATGTTAGAATTTTGAATCACGCCTTGGTTGAGTAATCCAGAAAGTGACTTGACTCAAACAGTTGTGAGTTCAATAGATGGCCACAGTAGAGGGAACAAAAACTTGCAGAGTTGAGTTAATAAAGGAAATTAACTAAAAGTGAGATATCCAAAAAAGGCATGGCACATAGTACTATATTTACTTTAACAGTTGGACATGTCACCTAAGGGCTGGCACTCTGAATCTCTATTCATAAACAGGAGTAATGGGGAGTATCATGTGTGTTTGCAAGTTTGAAGGATAAAGCAACCAAAGCAACTTAGGAGTCACATCTAAATACTTGGGAACAGTCTGAATCAGTGACTATCTGAAAGGATTGAGTTGCCCAATCTGAAGGTATTTTTAACTACACCATGCCTTCAAGGCCTGCTTTTATCAAAACCTGTCTATATCATGCACATTTGGCTGGCTGTGATGCATGCGCCTGGTATACCTTTACCCAGAATTGGTATTATGATGAGTATATTGGGCTTCATATATTTGTACTTGATGAAGCTATAATAAAAGTGAAACATGTTAGATTGATAAACTTTTCCTATTTGTTTTTTATCCTATAATTCTGTCAGATTCCAATCCATATTTGATCCCAATTCACTACAGTGTTACTTTGTTGCTCTCTTAATAAGAACAGAAACCAGTAACTGAAGACATGGATTTCCAAGAATTGATATGTATAGATTGATAATTTATACATACTAATATTTGAATGAAAGAAAAATTTGTTCATTATAGGGATGCAAATGGTTATTATCTCCCTCTGGGAAAGATGAATTCACAAGGGTGACATAGTTGTCAGTGTTGACATCAGCTTGTGGAGGTGACAAACCCAGTTGCTATATTGTCTGTGGAAAAGTAAAAAAAAATAATGGCCTACAGTAGTTAAGAGAGCAGACAAAACCACATGGTTGAACCAAATACACAGAAGATACCACTGACCTGCTAGTTTTCCCTTTAGGAAATATTATAAATATGACCCTCACTATTTGTACCATACAAAGAAATTATAATAAACATGAATACAACAAATAGTGTGAATGGGTGAAAATAGAGAGGGTCTTGCAATATTTCTCAAAAGGAAAATGGGCATGCTAGTGGTGCTTGATATGTACCTGATGAGACCATGTGGTTTCCTCTGCTCTCTTAGCTGCCATTGGCAATCATATCATACATCTCCACAGTCTACATAGCAACTAGAATTCATCACCCATGACTCCACAAACTGACATCACTAACCAGCTGTTAGGAGACCCTTGTGAATTTATTTTTCCCAGGGGGAGATAATCACTTTTTGCATTCTTACATCACCAATATTTGATTTTGAATTCAGTTTTTACATGGGAATGACTTTTTACATGTATATACAAGTTGAGTATCCTTTATCCAAAATTCCAAAATCTGTAAGTTTTTCAGGTGCTGACATGACTTACCACAAATGAAAATTTCAGAAAGCATTGGAAAGGTTCCTATGTGATGTGCAACTGTGGTAAGTGTCCTCATATGCCTTGGGTGGAGGTTCCCCAGCACAACTACGTAGACTATGTTGATGCCATTTCTTCGTAAGCAATTGTCACAGAAACACTTTCGTTCATGGATTACTTACTTGGTGTTTCATGCTCAGTAAAGATATTATTCAAAATGTCAAAAAGTCCTGCATTTATATATTTTTTGTAAGTGGTGATCATGTTTTTTTGTATATGTACACAAAGTACAAAACATTATTTTTATGTGAAATCTTAATTTCACAACTTAAAAATCCATGTGAGCATTACATGACTAGTGTCAATACCTGTATTTGTATATACACAAAATTTATTAAATTTTATATAAAACTAATTCCAGGGTATATTTTATTTATATAAAACTACCTTTAGAGTATATTTATAAGCTGTGTTATGAAATGTAAAGGGATATCATGTTTATGCTTGGGTTCCATTCTCTAGCTGCCCTATTTTATAGATGCGATATACAAATTAAATAGCCTGTATTCCAAAATCTGAAAAAATCTGAAAATTGAAGCAGTTCCAGTCCCAAGAATTTTGGATAAAGGATTCTTAACCTGTATTATAGTAAAATATTTTTCTATCAATTCTACTTATTTGGATTACAAAATAAGTCTTCTAATAATCCAAGCCCAACAATTTTAATCCATTTTATATGCAGTGTTACATCATGAACATTGATGACGCATGAGTAGATTTCATTTTAGAATTTTTAGTCAAGCAAAAGTATTAGTCAGAATGGTAAATATATTTGTACAGAATGAGAGCATGTTAATTTTACAAGATCTATTTATCTCCCAACTAATCCAAGTCAGTCTGAAAAGGAAAAAAAAGAACTGCAAGAAGAACCTGAGAGGAAACAGAAAAATATTTGACATCCTCTTTGTAAAATATGCATCAAATTCCTTATACATTGAAAGTTTGTCTAAATATAGCATACACTCATTTTTTGTGCAAAATATCAGAGAAAATGTGCCAAGCACATACCTTCATTAAAAAGAAAACAAAAATTTCTATTATTGGTTTGGCATCAACTCAATTTTTCTTCGGCATGAAAAAAATAATCCTTAACTTTATCTTAAAGAAAAACAAAATTATCATTGCAGATAGCTATCATCCAAGGGAAACATTTCTTGGCTTTCATTTTTAAAAATTCAAGATTTTTATTTTTTTTCTTACAAACCTTTTTAACAAGATTGGAAGTCGATCATCCCGATGGACATATTTTTCAAGATTTTCAGTTGTTTTTTCTTTAAGTGTTCCCTGAAAAATAAAATGCAAAAATAAAATAAACATATGTTTAACTCAATAAGAAGGAATCATTGAAGTTTATCTTTAGCACTGAAATGACTAATGGTTTGTCCATACATATAACAGTCAAGGTTTTGTTTTTGACACTAATTAACAGGTAATAACATAAATAGTTTTGGGGAGGAAGTTAAAAGAAACAAAGTTATATCACATCGTATTCTAACATATAAATAAAACAAAATGAATAAAATATACACAGAAATATATAAGGGTTGATTTGTAAGTAAAATCTCCAATCCTATAAAACAATTTTTACATTAGATAAAATAATTAAACTGGTATCAAATTGGGGTAAATTTCTTTTCCAAATTGCAAATTTTTTCAAACATTTTGTTCAGTTGTTTCTTTCCATCCAAGAAGAAAGATTGTGCACAGCAACTTTTCATGAAAATTGAAAGAATCTTTTAATTTCAGAAACATAAGTGTGTACTGGTCAGTACGGAAGGTGTGCAACAATTTTGAATTTCAAAATTCTCAAACTTTTGATGACCACAATGTGGCCTTGTATTAATATAATGAATTTAAGCACAGTACTAGACTGACAGCTAGTTTTCATCATTTTACAGTTGAAATGGCTAGATATAACCATAAGTTCTATGCTAACAGGTTCTTCTTTCACACTTCTCATTTATGGAACTCTTCTCTTACTTTCCAGCCAATTTTGATTGTCAAAAATTTAAATGCAATATAAATAGTCATCATTTGTCTTCTTAATTCATGTTCTTTTATTGTTCTCACGCCTTAATGTTTTTCTTTTTCTTATATTCTTTCACACTCAGTAACACTTAGTGGCTTTATTGCCTTGCTTGGTATGAAATCATTAAGAAAAAAGTTTTCATTTCAGTCTTTTATTCTGGATATCCATTATTTAACTGTTTACAAAGTTTCATTGCTTGTAGACATCCATGAATTTTGATTGGTATGCAACCTTCTAGTACCAAAAATCCTATCACATATTATGACTTTATACATAACTCAGACATAATACTCATGATTAATGAATGCTATTATGTAAGGTTGTTAGACAATGAACTGAAACCGATCATAATTGATCAAGTGTTTATATTTTTTGTAATGTTTTTCATCCCAATCAAGGGGATAATGTCCCTAAGATGCAAGAGGTTACTGAAAGTGAAAGAGAATGAGAAGACTTTAGTGTGGCAAAAGGACAATAAAAGAACAGGATTCAGGAAGAAAGAAAATGGCAATTGGCATTGCATTTAAATTTTTCAAGATTGTAGGTAGCAGGGAAGCAAGAAACCAAATATACTACTGTTCAAACATGTTTCTGTCTCATATAAATCCCTATTAATAACATTAATCAATAGAAGGCCTTATCAATCAACTCATGTATAGATTTCTGTATAAGTATAGCATGAGTTGGAAATATGGATTAAATCTGACAGAATGATTAAGTAAGAAACCTTTATAAATTTAATATGTATTGCTATTTATTTAGCTTTATCCATAATTATTTGGGGGTAGAATGATTCGGAGTTATATTTCAGTCTTTAAATTCTATGTTATTTTTGTTTTTATTGGTTGTGTAGGTGTGGCATGTATACTGGCAGTAGTGTATCAATCTGTTAGGATAACCCATAAATAACACATTACATTCCTCAGTATCATGAAGAAATAAAATAGGCCATAATTTTCACTTCAAAAATGCTACCTTAGTAAAAATAGATAAAAAAAATTAACACAGCCTATTATAGAGCAAAAGAATATTAATAATTGGCATACAAATATTTTCATGGTAATTGTTTTGATGAACTTTCCTCTATGGTATTTGGACTTTATAAATTTAAGCATACTACTAGATTGTCAGTAAGGTCTCATCATCTTACTTATGAAATGGCTAGATGTAACATCAAGTCTATACTAAGAGTTTCTTCTCTCACACTTCTCACTTATAGAATTCTGTTCCAGCTTCTTGCTTTCCTATCAACTTTGATCTTCAAAAATTTAAATGCAATGAAACTCATTATCTTCTGTCTTAAGTTTTTTAATTTTTTTCTTTCCTTAATAATTTTTTCTTTTTCTCATATTTTCTCACACTCAGTAATCCATTGTGTTTTAGTGGCTTTATTGGCTTGCTTGGGGTGAAATGATTAAACAAAAATTAAATAAATACCCACCAGACACTTCTTTATATCACCTAAATTAACAAAGTCTGAGAGTATGTCAAAAATAATCTGTACTTTCACTATAACATAACTTTGGATGAAAGTGTGGATAATTTTTGACTTTCCTTTATGTATACTTAAAGACTGCCATCCTGAGTATGACAAACTACATCCAGCAGCAAGGCCTCTAATCAGAAGGTTTTCAGGAGCATGGAACCACCCCTTCATTGCAGTCATTCCCAGGTCCACCCTGAACTGGGGTGGTAGCACTTGTTAGGATATCAACTATGGACAAATAACCCTCAAACCATGGTTAAAACATTATGAAAGTATAAAGAATTTTATAGTAAAAATACCAACAATACATTTTCATAGTAAAAAAATTACCAGCAATACATTAAATATATATATATATATATATATATTACCAGCAATACATTTCTCTAAGGAATAAAAATATTACCAGTAATACATTTTTATAAAAAAATTACAACTGCTCCCAAGAAAATTTATTTTGGCATTAAATGACCCATAAGAAGTCAATATGTCACTAAACAAACATAGTTAAAGAATGACAGTTCCATACATTTACAGATGATATAACCTAATATTATGCATCTTACTTCAAACTATTTTTCTTCAGGATGTAGGTGATCATGGCTCTCCACAATTTCTCATCCTTTGTAGCCCTTAGTATAGCTTGTCTTTTTGGCATATCTCCTAATCCTTGTTATTTACAGCCATTTACACAAACTCATTAGCACTGCTTTCCTCTGCCCTCATGCCTTCGTGTGTAATTTTGGTATGTTGCATTGTTTTGCATGTTGAGCTGTTTGCTAACAACCATAGATTCTATCTTTATCAACTGATGTTTAGTCCTTTCTTCCCACTTTCCTTTACTACCTTATGTAAGAGTTTCTGTAGTTTTCTTTCCACATCTGCTATCAACACTTTGTCATATTCTAATGTTTTAAAGTTTGTGGTCACTAATAATGAATCCTGGTAGAACTTCTAATGTTCTCAGGATCATTTCACTGTAACAACTGAATAAATCCACTGAGAACACACATCCTAGTCTTAGGCCCCTTCCTACTTTTGTCTATTTACTGAATTCATTTTCCAGGCAGTTTGCTCCCATTATGTTGTGGATTATTCTAATATCCTTTACAAATAAATTGAGCTTACACTTCAAACAGTTTTTTTGTGACTACCTTCTCAAATGATTTTGCATAATCCATAAAACTTAGCTATACATTCCTTTTCATTTGCATTACTCTTTCTGATATCATTCTGATTATAAATATCACATTCTTTGTTCCAGTGTCTTGATGAAACCAAACTGTTCTTTTTCTATTTTGGGTCTAATTCTACTGGGCACTATTTATCAGAACACACTTAAATAAATACCTCTAAAAATTTTCTAAAAAAGAGTATACCTGATAAAAAAAAAAGCCCCAAACTTCCTAAAAACAAAGTTTGTCAAAATGTTTATGTTATTAAGAGGACAAACCAAAGTATTTTATTATTTTATTAAATTTTTTAATACTTTCTAGCATTTTCGAAATTTTTGTTAAAAATTTGTTTTTCTTGCATTAGTGGGTAGATAAAAATATTAGTATTAAGAAATTTAGCATCTTTTTTTGTGGTGAAAACACATTATTTTGGAAATTCTTGCAAATGTCAAATAATTGTCAGATTTTAATTAAATTTTCAGAACTTATTCACAAATGAATGAAATTATTTTTGAAATTTTTTTCTAGAAAATCTTGGTAAAAATATATATATATCTTTTTTCATTTGTTACCCCAAGTTAATTTTTGATGTTTAGTCCTTTCTTCTTGCTTTCCTTCCCTGGTTCTTTATTTAAACATGTATAGCAACTCAGTACTCTAGCAATGCATGCAAATCACATTAATGATTCTTCTTTCAACTTTACCACATTTACTGCTAGTATTTTTTGGATAGAATTAACAGATGGTGATAATTGGAATATCTTTTGCTATGGTATTTACTTCATTTCTACATCGATGTGTAAACTGTTACAACATCTGTTATTTGTTTCACTTGAACATTGTTTGTTTGTAAGTCTTCAGTAAGTTCAAGAATAAATTTTTTGGAAAAATATTCTTCTTCCTGTTAAAATCTTTATCGGCAATCCAAACAATCAGAGCTAATGCAGCCAAAATGATACAGTGTACACACAGAAAAATCTTATATCGCTAAGTCTTTAGAACATTAGCATTCTGACCATGAGAAACTGGTTCTAATCTCACCATAATTAATTTGTATGGAGATGACTTCTTTATAATATCAGTCTGGGGAGGTGATCTCAGTTTGTGGTACACAACTGAAAGTTCCTGAAAACTATACCACAGGGTAGCTTAAGCCTTGTGAGTGAAATTATAGTAGATGAAACTGTTAAGAATTCATTGATGGTCATCCTAATACAATGTCAGTCATCATTGTGATCAATATTACAGGATATAAAGGCTAGGGCTAGAATTATCAGCAATTAATCAGAATACCTCATGGGCATGGTATTCCAACAGTGATGGATTGCTTTTGAATATCAGTCCAAAACAGCGCAAATTTAACAGAGGACCACAAATTGGCCCTGATCTGGCATCTCAGCTGCAGTTGCTCTCTCACAGATGTGCCGTTACCTACCTGTCTTTTTTACAAATACTTTCATGGTAACTACTCCGATGAGCTGCTTTCGCTGGTTCCCAGACTTCATGAATTTAAGTGTTGAACTAGGCTGGCATCTCACTCTCACCCTTTCACTGTCAAAACTGTTAAATGTAGCCATCTCTTCTACTCCAATAG